AAATGCAGTGAGCAGAAAACAAGGGCTGTGGAGCCAAGTATGATCTCAGTGCTGAATACACTACAGATCTTCCTCAACTTATGATGGGGTTACATCTTGATAAACCAGTCATAAATTGAAAATACAAGTCAAAACCACATTTAATTAATACATCTAACCTACCAACATCACAGTTTAATCTAGCCTACCTTAAACGTGTTCAGAACACTTACATTAGCCTACAGTTGGGCAAAATCATCTAACATAAAGTACTGAATCTCTTATGTAACTCACTGAATACAGAAAGCGAAAAACAAAATTGGGTGTATGAGTCCAGAATGCTTTTTAAGTGTATTTGTCGTTTATTCTCGTGATCACATAGCTGACTGGGAGCCACTGCTTGGCTTGCTGCCCCTGCACCAAGAGTATACTGCCGGGGCTTCCCTGGTGGCGCAGTGGCTGAGTCCGCCTGCCGATGCAGGGGACGCGGGTTCGTGCCCCGGTCGGGGAGGATCCCACATGCCGCGGAGCGGCTGGTCCCTTGAGCCTCGGCCGCTGTGCCTGTGCGTCCGTACCGCAAAAAAAAAAAAAGTATACTGCCAAACATCACTAGCCAAGGAGATCAAAATTCATAGTTTAAGCCTATTGCTTTTTCACCACCGTAGTCAAAAAAAATCACCTCGAATCGTCAATAAGTCCAAGAGTGTTCGTACTTGCTTGGTAGGATGAGGAATTATGTATGAGGAGCTTTTCTGCCCTCTGTTTAACAGGGATACTCACCTCCCAAGTGATTAAGCATTACGTAAGAAAAAGGATAGTGTTTGGCAGAGCTGCACTCAAAAACAAAACTTCCTTTCCTGGAGGATATAGCTGGCCAGAGTGAGTAGGCATGGTGGGGCAGAGATGGGGCAAAAAAAATTGTTTTTAAACTTCCTGACTACTCCACCAGTTTTCACCTGAGCTTCCAGCACCTGAAAAGGAAGTTACTTTCTTAGCCCTCTCCGAACTATCAGTGTTCACCTACTCTGTTTACAAAGTGGGCAACTTCTACTTCCAACCTCACTTCTGGAAGCCACTTTCATTTCAAACGGACTGCTATACATTGCCAACTGAAAACCAACCAGGATTGCCAGTTCAGTGAATTTCCTGTCCCCATTAAACCCCAGACAGCTGGGACACATGAGCCAGCCTTTTCATTAGGGCAGTAACACTCCCAACTTCTTGGCCTTCCTGCCAGTGCTAAAGCTGGACAAATTATCCCACACTGCTTGTAATGGCAATAGGGCTGAAGGAAAGTCAAAAAATCATTAAACTGGAATTGGTGTAAATTCATGGTTTTAGAATCCTTTCACTTTTACCGCCAAGCAGTTATGTACTCCTGCCCTCTTCTACTTTATCATTAAGGTACTCACACTCACTTCTTCACTTCATTCTTCACATAGCCTTTAACTGCGAGCTCTGCCTTTAGTACACAGCCCTTACCATCTGACTCAATTCACTCGTTTTCCACTTCTAGGTAAGGGGCTTTACAAAGCACTCTCAAGATTATTTGCCACCTCAAGATCCAAGAGCCTTTCTCTTAGGGTATTTAAAAGCCCTACAACCAACACCTCTTAACTTATCCTAATCTAAAACAGGGGTGAACTTACATTTAGTTCAAGGTCTCAACATCCTAATATTGAACACAAGTCAAATATTACCGGTTTTGAGATACTGAGCTGGTATTATGCCCTATCACTGTACCCCATTCCCCATTAAATGCCTGTGTCATAGACTACCATGTGGGGAAGGTGTGACACGAAAAGGATTAAATAACAAATCAACATTCCAATTTGTATTTATTTGCAAAGCACTCTTATTGAAGCTTAACATGGATTTTATCTAAACTAAAAATAAATTCTCATTATAAAAAATTCTGGTGGCAGAGAGCCAGCTGGATTGAGTTAAAAGTACTAGCTGCCTAAGTTTAAAAGGATTTAGAAATTGTTTCCTGCGGGAGTTATTCTCTCAAAAATAACTTTCAGCTCTCAAAACTTGATATACTGATGATGATATACTGAGCATTTCCATTCCTCTTTCCAAATGTTCAATACAAACAGCCACCTCCACCCCCCTCCAAGGCAGCATTCATTAAGCAGTTTTTCAGCAACTTTCCCTCTTGGCTCTGATTTGAGGTTTTGGGACTTAACAAAAAAATGACCTCTAGGGCTTCCCTGGTGGCGCAGTGGTTGAGAGTCCACCTGCCGATGCAGGGGACACGGGTTCGTGCCCCAGTACGGGAAGATCCCACATGCCGCGGAGCGGCTGGGCCCGTGAGCCATGGCCGCCGAGCCTGCGCGTCCGGAGCCTGTGCTCCGCAACGGGAGAGGCCACAACAGTGAGAGGCCTGCGTACCACAAAAAAAAAAAATGACCTCTAAAGAATGCTAAGTTGCCCCCAAATGAAATCTGAATGAGTTATGTACTGAAGAAAAAATGCCAATTCACAAGTGAATAGGACTTCAAAAAGAGGGGAAAAGTCACCTACAGACTACTTTTCTGGAAGGTGTAATTTTGCTCTGGAAATAAAGGAAATATTCTCCATCTCAGGACCTCGCCAAATGAGACTATCAAGGAAGCTAAGTATCAATGTTTCCAGAGATTTTCACTTCAAGACCAAGTACATACATGTACTAACAGCTAAGGCACTAAGTGGCCAGATTCTAAGACTTTAGTAAAATAATCATATAATACAATGTTTTATGTATGTTAGAGAAGAACCAAGGAAAAACTAAGGATGAGAAGTAATGTTCTACACATGTATTTCATGTATTAGTCTGGGAAACATTTTGGCTGTTGTCACATCTTCCATCCAGGTAGTTAGAGGAAGAACTGGGATACAAAATGATGAGAATACCATATTATGAATTTCTGCAATTCCAATAAGCAAAAATTTGTACAACAAAATTAAGCAGTTATACCAGGTTTATCAAGACAAATTTTCAATATCTCTTTCAAATTTTCTATCTTCTCTAAAGTGTGCTGTATACAGCTGAATTTGTTTGAAGTATCCAACGAATTTAATAAAGTAAGATGAAGAGAACTTGTGTGGACATATAAAATTGAATTCAACACTATCAGAATGTTTTGATAAAAATATACTCCAACCCAGTTTTTCTTCAGCTATTTTAATTATAAAAATCTTCCATATTCTCAAAAAAAAAAAAAAAGGAAAACCAGAAGGCAACAGTCTAGTACAAAAATATACAACTGGAAGACATTACCACCAACCAGGTCTGACAACTAAATCATGTTGGGGATTCTGAAAATAAAAGCACACTAATACAAAGTACTAAACCAGTGGTTCCTATATAACCAGGGATGGAAAAATGAGTCAGTAGGCCTGGAAAAGTCCATTCCTGATAAAGAAGCACTGTAAGAATATAAACTATAACTCTACAATAAAAGCAACCAGGACTTTCCATCCAGACATGGGTGAGTCTTAAAAGGTGGTGATGCCATCTACTGATCACATGATCTTTTAAGGAACTGTAAAAAGCCATAGAAACAGTAGATAAAAGGTATCTACATCTCATAAAAATAAAATTTCTCTGGCTAATTTATCTTTGTCTTTACCTTTCTGCTTAAGACATGGTGGTCAGAAATAACCCACAATGAACTGAGAACCACAGAATATTAACTATTCTTGAAAGCATAAAAACCAACTATAATCCTTAGATATGTTCCTTAAATTATCACCAAGTATTAATAGTGACCTCTAGTGAACACCTGTAATCATTACACCACAAGTCAAACTTTCTGTGACTACTTTCAGTATCATATTCAACTGAGAATGCAAGACAAAACTGGCCAACGGGACTTGTTAATTTCAGAAATTACAGTAGAGAACGTTTTAATAGCCAGAATGTAAGGTTTTAACGATTTCTATCTTCCATATTTTTAAACAAGCCATAAAATTGTGCTAGGGTTTCTGGTTAAAGTGATTGCAAATTTGGACCCTAAGGATAAATCCTAGAGGTTAATTTTAATATCAGGTCTGTATTAGCCACTTTATAGCTACAATCCACTATCCTTTTTACAGAAACCCTTCCAATTTAAGACTCTGCAAGTTGTATACTGCCAAAAATGCCCATGTAGATTTATAAGAGCAGTGTAATATTGATGTACCGAATTACTTCCATGAATTCTTAGCTATCTTGCCTTGCTTGACCCCAACAAAGGTTTTAAGCTATGAAATGCCAGAAGACAAAGGCCCAAAGCCCGAGCTCCCAGTAAATCAATAGCCAGTCTTAAAAGTATCTTCTGTAACGAGGCTCATACTTAACTCCACTGACACCAATTCTCCCCCTCTGACACCCAGGACTCTCCCTCCCTTGATATGTGCATGAAGGGTGAAGAAGGACCACTGGAAATAATTTGTTTAGGATCTGCATCTTATAAAACATCCTTATAGATTAATATAATGACTTATCTTTCATATTAATGTCAGTACAGCATAATCCAAAACTATCTTTAAACAGCACATTTAGGAAACTAAGCCAAAAGACTGTTGCATTATGATTTAATCTAATTGCACAAAAATTTGAAATTACAACTCCTCTAGATTTCTAAGAGGAAGGTTATGCATGCCTCCATATTCAATTCTGCACTGTTACATTTGAACCATATAGTGAATTTCACATCATGATGGATCAATTTAGAATCCCCATGCAACACCTCAAATTATATAAAATGGAAGCAATTTTTAAAAGCTTTGTGGAACGTATTCATGCTAATTTTTTTTTTTAAACCAGCAACTTTGGATTATAATGTATCAGGTGGATATATTTTAAAACGTTGGTCACTGAATATCAAGGACTTTGAACTGGCTTCTACTCCTAAAAATGTATCATCGCTTAGGTGGACAACCAAAAATTTCCTTCACTTCAAAAGCCTCAAATTGTGTTTCTTACAGAATAAGATTTGTGTAACCAACTGCCTTCTATGGGACAAGAAATATGGTAATAGTGGGTTCAACTATTACACAATTATGTTAATATTTTATTTTCAAAAGCACTTTACAAGAAAATGTAAGTATGGCTTCCAATAGGAATGTTATACCTGGACTTGATTGGTACCAAGCTCAGATTTTAGTTTTGCAAGGAAAAACAGGCTTTCAGGTTAAACAACAATTTGTAACCAAAACTTTAATCCCAAGGATTCTCACAAAACATATTACAAATGACAGCATGAAAAAAAAAATCTTGCACAGTAACTCAAAGTTCAGCTCTACAATGTACCCTTAAACTGGCAGGACATAGGTATCTTGAATAGTCTCAAATTTCCAAATAATATTACAAAGAGCTAGGTATCCATATACAGCAATCACAGAAGGTAAACTAACTTTCTTGAAACTTCTTAGATTCTAAACCCACTGGACAACCTCTTGTCCGGTGTGAAGACTAGTGGAATTTTTAAACCTCTAATCTAGTTTAAGGGTGCAGCTTTAATTTTTACCTGCTAGCTTGTGTTCACAGCAGCTTTTAAAGACCGCTTAACTACAGCTGCATACCATATCCCAGCTACAGAGTCTTTTCAATTTTTGCCAGTTTTGTTTCCGTAATATTAAACATCACACTTTAGCTGGGCAGGAGTTAGAGGTTTATTATCAGTCTGTGCAAGACTAAAAATTCAAAGCAAATTCAATTTTGCTTAAGGGAACATTGTAAAGTAACAATTCTTGATATTACATGCCTCATATGATCCATTTCAAACCATAGAGAATTACATCTTTATGTGTCACTGTTCCAAGAGACAAACAAATGTGAACAGCTAAAACATTTTAAAAATGCACCAAGCTTATGAAGTCTCAAACAAAACTTGAATTTTCTGTACATACTCCTGTCAAATGAAGTTATTTCCTGTACACCACTCCTCTTGCAAACTGGTCTTCTATTTCCTTTCATTTGACCTAGATCGGCTGATAAACAGAAAAACAGAAGTTACACCTGTAACTCCGTTACACTCTGACAAAACATCAAAAGATTTTTATGGGAAAAAGTTGTAAAATTTTTATCCAAGTGGCTTAAAAGAAGACCTATTTCTACTTTTAATACGTTATGTATGCAAAGTCTTAAATGGCTCAGGTCATTAAAGATCTTACCTACGAGACCTAGAGAAAGATCGGGACGGCTTGTGATTTCTCTCCCGGGACAGTGATCTCTCTCTTCTCCTATCTCTAGAAAGGGACCTGAAGTCAGAGGGAAAAGAAAAACAGTGCCATTCAGGATTATACACAACAAATACTTGTAAGAGAAGTTTCTGAAAGCTAAAAGCTATGCCAGTTGATTCATTACTGAAGTCAAGGTCTATCACCATTAACCAAGTCATTTGGGAAACAGCTTAGGAATAGCACAGACACTCCCACTTCTGAGAATGTGGCCCCCAAAAAAGGTTATTCACCTGCTCCGGCTGCGGGAGAAGCTTCTCCGTCTTGGAGATCTAGAAGCAGAAAACAGGGAAATTAGGCCAATTGTCAATTAGCATTTATGGCGTGAGGCATTTCCCAACTTTTCAATCTCACTGTTGGGCCCAGTGAATGTGCCGAAGAACTGGCACCCATCGTCCAAAAAATAAAAAAAAAATTTTTTTTAAAAAAGAAAAGAAAAAAAAGGCACAGAAGGATTAAGGAACCAAAAGCTCAAGTGAAAAGCAGGTATTCCAACCATGGATTCACTTTAACAAAGAATGCTTCACAGCAGATCTGTCCAATGCAAAACTTCATGTCAAACTAACTTCACTACCCAAACACCACACCAAAATGTAGTCCCACAAGTAGTTCCAAAAACAGTACCATAAACCAGTATTTGGAACCCATGCAAACCTGCAAGTCCATGACAAGACTTAGGTACCAGGTGGATAGTGTAATTTTGTGAAAACGCGCTAGGTGTAAATACTGATGCCATTAAGTGCTATATTAGAACTGCATTTGTGATCATCACATTTAAGAGTGTGTTTAGGCTTATCAAAATTACCTTAGCTTGGCCCACTTCACCCCCATAATTTAAAAATTTTGAAAACTGTTAGTAAAACCATTTAAAGGTGATAGGATTCAACAAATTTTTGCTAGAAAGGAAAGCTAAATCTGTTAGAGTTATTAAAATTTTTAGTTTGGCATCTCACACATGCAAATAAGTTTCACTTGAAGGTCTAGTTACATTATGAGTTCCCTATCACCCTTAAAAGTTTTATTCAAGCAATATATATATGTACGTTACCATTCAATTATGCACAGCCAGCCTTTGATCCAGAAAAAAAATTACTTTAAGCCGCTTACTCCTTATTTTAACCAGCAGTAAACTGTATAAGCAGGAAAAACTTACTAGTTTTTGGGTTTCAACAAGCTAGAAATGGTGAGGTGAGGCTGCCGGACTGACGGCCAGGAAGAATTTGCTGAAAAGGTTTTGCCAGATGTTGCGTTGGATTTAGTTGGTTGGCGAAGGGGGTGTTGTGGATTTTTCCTGCTTTTTTGTTAGCCGAAGGCTGCTGCTGTAGTTGTTGTGAAGACATTTGGTAAATAAACAGCTGAGCTGATTGGCCAGGAATGTGTGGGCGGTCGAGGTGGCTGCTGCCGATTTGGTTAAGGTTGGAGAGAAGGCTGAGAGAAAACAGCATGCTCGGGAACCAAAGGGCGGTGCAACCTGACGACTGGCCATGCCTGGGTCATGTGAAACGACACCAGCCAAGCTGAATGGGGCGCGCTGGTCACATGACGCTGAAAGGGCTAGTTGACTGGCTAATGCAGACTCAGAGGGTGGTGAGAAGAGACATGATGGTGACTCTGTAACGGGGTTCATTTTTATTAATAGATGGACCAAAAAGCACAAAAAAAAAATGAAAAACAAGCCATCAGTACAACCATCTATTAGCTAACAAATACTCTTTATTATGATGGGCAACAGTGTGTTTTGTTTTTCAAAACAGCAAAAGGGGCAAGATTTTGAACTCCTATCTCCTAGGACTTCACTCACCTGTAAGAGGTAAATTCAGTCCTACAGAAACTATTTGGAGGTTTGAGGAGATGTGGAGTTAGCATCCAGACAATACTGCCTGGTCCAAGAATGATGCCATTTTCAATTATAAAAAAAACTGCATTCTCTCCTATTTGGGTTTGAAGAACAGATGACTGGGATTACTTTAGCCCCCTTTATTGGTCAGTGACTTAAGTTAGTTTCAGAATGATTTCTACTTTACCAGTTGTAACATTAAAACAGCTGCCTGCTTGATAAATATTACAATCGTGCTAATAGAAAACACATTTTTGTGAAGAGCTAGAGTTGAATGTAATGTTTGTCATTATGGAGTCAAGAAATGGAAAAAGGCCTAAACTGAAGTATAAGGGAAGACTTGGAAAGATGCAACTAGAAGATGAACTAGAAGATAGATCCAAGATAGAAGTTACTGACTACCAACATGAACAATGACCTAAAGACAAGCCAACACTCAGCACAACTCACATATCCCAAACTACACCCAGCAAATGTTTCATAAAAACCTGATTCCTCACAATTTAAAACCCACCAACAAACTTTAAGAGAAATACCTGCTCCTATTAGCTACTCCATTACACCAATACCTCTAAACACGCTCTCTCTAAGTACCTGCGGCGAGGTGGAGGACTCCTCCTCCGATAATCATCTCGAGGGCGACGACCCCAAGAAGGAGGTGGGCCACGATTTCGACTTCTCTTTTCACCATTCGACAGTTCCACTCTTACTCGGCAGCCACATAGTGTTCTAGGAGGAGAAGAAACGTTAAATTTAAAGCAGCCCAACTGTCCTTCTAGGAGATTAAAGCAAGGGAAAAAAACCCCCACTCCTATAACTAGCTTCTTTGCAAAAAATACATCTTAATGTCTGCAGAATCCTTAATACCAAAGCAAGTTTTAGTTCCCTTATTTTTTCTAGTAAAGGAAACCAACTTCCTTACATTTTATTGCCGTTAGTCTGATCACTGGACTCAATGTTAACAGGTGCAATTTAAGTGTGAAAACGCCTGGATTCATCCTCCCAGAACTAGTTCATCTGTACATCCTGTTTCGACTTCTTCCTTTGAGGCTGCAACAACTGTTTACCAATCTTACTCTGTGTATCCGTTGGTCTCCTCTCCTCCCCAACCCCCCCGCCCCCCGCCAGGTAAGTAGCAGTAAGTTAAGACAGAAGCATTCTGGCCATTTTACATCTCCCTCTCCCCTCAATCATCACACACAATACTTGACACATAAGACTACTGAGAACAGGAGGAAAAAAAAAGGGCAGTTATTTCCCACCTTTTCACTGGTCCACAACCATTATGTTTAGATAATTCACCATATGTGGACAGTGACTGGCAAGAGGTGGGGCCCTGGAAAAATGTTTCTGTAACCTGCTTAGAATAATGACCTTTTTTACAGCTTTACAGCCAACTCTCAGACCCTTTAATTTTTGGATCTTAAGGATTATTTTCCTTGTTTTCATGAAATCCAACGGTTTTCAAATGCCAGGAAGCAGAAGGGCAACACCTGTTCACTGTTAAGACTCAGGTGTTGCTTATCAGCCAGCTAACAGACCATTGTAAATGCAAAGGGAAATAGCTGTATGAGCCACAGTTCCTAAACAAAATTATTTCCAACATGTAAAAGATAATAGTACAATAAACCCACGTAACCATCATCCACCTACAATCAGTTTGTGGCCATAAGAGAAATGTCTGATTCCACAATTATTTTAGAAACAATTCAAAGGTGACAACACAGTTGATGCTTTGTGGTGCATTTAGATTAAAATGTTTCAACCATATGCAGCTATCCACCCACCAAGAACTGACAGTTAAAATTATTTTCTTCAATGGCCAACTGAATAAAAAGAAACTTTTCCTAGGTATCTACACTAAAACTGTTCACTCCTTTGATTGTCAGAAAAGGTTTATGTAAATCTCCAGTAACATCAATTTCAGATAGCCAAGAAGCCATCTACAAGCCACGTATCCTAGAGATTTTAAATATTAAAACACGATCAACATTATTTATCATTAGTATAAATTAATCAATAAATTACCTCCCATCTAGCTCTCGGACAGCATCGGCTGCATCTCGAGGATCTTCAAATTCAACAAAAGCGAAGCCAGGAGGGTTTCTAGCAACCCACACACTTCGGAGTGGTCCATAATAGCCAAAAGCTCGTTCCAATTCAGTCTTGTTACCATTGTTTCCAAGATTACCTACATAAACTTTACAGTCCAACGGACAGGAATCACGATGCATTTCTGTAAAAAAAACAAAAAAAACCCCCCAAAATATCATAATCCACACAGTGAAAAACAGATCCTTAAGAAAGAATTCAAAAATACTAAAACCCCCCAACACTAAAAGCACTACCCTTTAAACAGTTACCGATAACTGCATGGAAGCCAGCACAGATTGCCTAAGAAAAAAAAAAAGCCTCCTTGAAGAGTGAGGGGAAACAACACACTGGAGGAGCATTTACCACAAAGCGGAAACTGAGTTAAGGACTTTACCTATTTCAAATTAATCTTAAAAAACTAAACAGAAAACACCTAGAAAAGTAGGACAACCTACTCAAAAGCAAATACAACTCGCTGAAGACAAACCACTAGAAACGTGATACTAATGTGCCTTCACAGGCCAGAAGTTAACCAGCTTCATTCCTCAAGCAGCAAGACAAACTTGTTATTAAAAGATGTACCTCATTCTATTCTCAACACCCAAAAAGTGTTAACCCAAATGTCCAGCAACAGGTAAGTGGATAAGCAAAATATATTATCCATACAATGGAGTACTATTCAGGAATGAAGTACCCATAAATGCTACAAACGTGGATGAAACTTGAAAGCATGCTAAGTTACAGATACCAGACACACAAGTGCACATATTACGATTCTGTACATGTGTAATATCCAAAATGAGTAAATCCAGAAGTAGATCAGTAGCTACCAGGGGCTGGTGGAGGAAAAGGGGACAGGGCAAAAGGGAAGTGGCTGCTTATGTGTACGGGTCACCTTAGGGGGTATAAAACGGGTTAGAACTAGAGAGATGGTAGCTGCATAACATTGCGAATGTACTTAATAACCTCTGAATTGTGCACTTTAAAATGAATCTTACGTTAATTCACCTCAGGGGAAAAAAGTTGTTATACAAGAATTTAGGCACTTAGGGGGCTTTGATAAATCTTAAGTACTTACGAAGTCGTCTCAGCAATGAATCTAATCAACTTATAGGCCAGTATCAACTGCATAAAAGAGCAGCCAGTCCAAGAACTCAGCTCAAGAGCCACTTTCTTCTCTCTCTGGGCTTATCCAATTAAACAAGCCAGTCCAGACACATCCTATTTGTGTGACCCCACCCTGCACCCAGGAGAGTTATGAGTCCAAACCATTGCCGGGAAATGGGTTCTTTTCCTTTTTCCAAAAACTTTACCGTGACCAGTTACAGGCCTACGTATTAATGCAAAGAGCTACAAGAACAAAACAGCTCAAGGAAGAGCGGTTTAAAAAAATAAAAGTGATTGGGTTCAGACTATAACAAGTTAAAAGAACATAAAAATGAAGATGAGTACAGAAATCATTTACTAGGGATGGATCGAAAGGCCCAATCTTGATTACTGACTTGAGGAAAAAAATCATGAGCAGCTACCTAAGAAAACGCGGGGCCTAAAAAAAAAAAAAGGCGCCATAAATTGAAAAGCCGCGGCCCGGAGTACGACGGACTACCGAGTCCTCCTTCGCCTCAACTCTCGGGCAATCTCACTTTCCGGTTCACGCCCCCAGTGAAGAGTTAAAAACACCTCCACTTTGAGACCTGGATATATCCTCCGAGGGGCCGGGGGCCCCCGCCACCGCCCCGTGCTGAACGTCACAAAATGGCGGCAGCGTCTCTTTGTCTCAATCTGGCGCCGCCATTGGGCCTGGCCCCACTTCGGTCCCGTTAAGGCCCATTTCCCACCTCATTCCTTTAGTCGCTGGTCACTTACCGAGACCTCGGGTTAGAAACGCGTAGGCTCAAATCCACACACCCCCAGCTGGGTCTTCCTGGTCCCCTCGCGCCTGGCACCGACAGATGCTCTCCCACACCCGTCGTCCACGAAATGGCGGACCACCGCCGTCTCCTCGCCCTTATTTATAGGCCATGCTGTAGTCACATGACTGGACGGGCTCGCCCAATGAGGGGCGGAGGAGGCTGTGACGTAATGGCTACAAACTCAGCGAGAACAGCGTTGCTGGGAGCGCGCTCTGGTTGTACCGCCTTGTCTGTGGAGGGTAGCAGCGTCGGGCTCAGGTTGTCTCAGGCCCGGAGCTTCCCTCGGGTGTAATTCCCCAGCTGCTGACCTCCGAGTTATTCTCAGTCCCCTGTCCCTCACATCCAAATAGGCTGGAGTTTAATAACACCTCCGCCGTCACTCCCAAACACTGATAGAGCGTTTTGCTCCTAATAAGTTTAAAGTATTAGATGAATTCACTGATTACTTCATTCTCGTGAGCGGTGAGGCTGGAACTAAGATCGTCACGTTTACAAACGTGCTTCGAAATTGCTCCCAAGGTCAAGGAGCTGTTTGTGAGCGAGCTGTCACCAGATTGTGCCCACCGGGGTCCCACACTTAGGGAAAAGCCCAAACCTGGAAAGTCCGCCGAACTCTGGCTGGTTTCCCATCCCTCACCCAAACTGCAGGATTTGGCGGAGACGATGGGGCATCATCCTGGACTCCTGAAATGTTTAATAGAAACGCAAACGCAAATGAGACCGGTCAGGCCATGCGGAAACTGTCACCTTTAGCAAGTAGAAGTACAAGGAAGTTCCTGAAGAAGATTGAATTTAAATTCAGCCCCCCAACCCCGCACCGAGGGCAGGGGTGGGGTCCCTGGGTCACTCACACCTTCCTCTGTTTCCCACTTCACCTAAAAAAAACCGAGCCACAAGATTAACTGTTGGGAGAGAAATACCGCGATGGTGTCATAAAAATCACCAAAATCTCCTTCGCCGGAACAGTGAGTTCAGTTTTGCTGGTGTTCCCTACCCTCTTTCTGTGAAGTCTGACTTATTGCTAAAACTTATTTAAATCTGCTCTCAAGAGAAACGATAACTTGTATTTTTCCACCATTAGCTGAAAGATATACCAATTATTTACTTGTTTTGTTTCTCCCAGATATTCTCTTATTGTGCCTGTAAACGATTTATCCATAGTGGGGGAAAAATACAAAGATTTAATGCCTCTGAGCCTTAGTTTTCACACCTGTAAAATGGGGATTTCATACTCCCAAGGAAAGAGGGGGAATGGGAACTGCAGTTGTTGAGCCAGGCTCTGAGCTGGCCTTACCCTGGGGTGTTTCCCAGGTGAGGGATTCTAGCAAAACCTTTCTGTTTCTCTTCTTACTTTTCTTTCCTGTAATTGTTTTTCTCTTCTGGCTCACTTATATTTGCTTTGATTTGCTCCCCTCCTGCTCTGTAAGTTTTTCTCCTCTTTTTATTTCCTTCTATCAAAGCGAAGCCTTTTTGAAGTCAGACAGTCCTAGATTTGGACCACAGTACTGCTGTTACTTACTGCTAAAGTGTCTGGAGAAGAGTCCCTTACCCTCTCTCAAGATTACTTTCTTCTTTGTAAAATGGGATAATTACATCAATGCAGGGTTGTTATGTGCTGTCTACCCTCACAGGAACTTCAACTTTGGTCTATTGCGATCACACCTGCATCCCCAGGGCCTGGAAACAAGCCTGACACACAGCAGGTGATCAAAACTTATTTGTTTAATTATTTAATTAATTAAAAGAAATTATGTAAATAAGCTGGCACAATATTTGCTCAAAAAAATTCTGTGTTCTTTTCACATCTCATTCTTTAGTATCCCAAAGTATCCCATTCTTTTCCACCATTTTTCCTGTTTTTGTTGTTGTTTGTGCATATAATGCTAGTCTAGCATGCATCTTTCAATGGAGCACTCTTTTTTTTTTAACTCATTATATTTTATTTTTGGCTGTGTCGCATCTTTGTTGCTGTACGGGGGCTTTCTCTAGTTGCAGCGAGCAGGGGCTACTCTTTGTTGCTGTGCGTGGGCTTCGCATTGTGGTGGCTTCTCTTGTTGCAGAGCACGGGCTCTAGGTGCGTGGGCTTCAGTAGTTGCAGTGTGTGGGCTCAGTAGTTGTGGCACATGGGCTCAGTAGTTGTGGCTCTTGGGCTCTAGGGCGCAGGCTCAGTAGTCGTGGTGCACAGGCTTAGTTGCTCTGCGGCATGTGGGATCTTCCCAGACCAGGGATCGAACCCTGCATTGGCAGGCGGTTTCTTAACCACTGTGCCACCAGGGCAGTCCTCAATGGAGCACTCTTAATCCCTCCAACTGTATTCTCAAATACGTTTTGAACCTCCTCTGGCCATCCACACACACTTTCTATCTTCTAGTAACTGCAGCCAAGTAACTATCCATTTAAATTATGGAATATTTTAATGTTCCTTTAAATTTATTCGACCATCAACCACTCTTGTCTAGACCCTAGAACCATAGGAAGCTTCAACGGGACATAGCAGAATTTCTTAGACAAAGAATGGGGATCATATGTGGTAGTAAACAAACATCCTTTGATTTTCTCTGAGGAACTACCATTCTCACAGTAGACCACGTTATTGATTTAGGTGTGGTTGGGTCCTACACCCCACTTTTTTAGGGATAGAGACATGAGCATCCCTAGTTAAATCATCCTGGTTCTTAGTGGCCCGCCCCACCCCCATTAGTTCAGGAATGGATGACTAATCCAATCAGACCTGTCAGCTAATGGGACTTGTAACTTTAGAAATTTCAGTAATTTTAGAATTTTAAATAGCCACAATCTAAGTGTAGAATGTAAGATTTTAACAATTTTTATTTTCCATATTTTTTACAAGCCATAAAATTGTGCTAGGGCTTCTGGTTAAAGTGATTGCAAATTTGAACTCTAAGGATAACTTCCTGGGGCTAACTTTTTATCATCAGGTTCTGTATTAGCTGCATTATAGCCATAATCTATTATCTTTTTTACAGAAACCCTGCCAATTTAAGACTCTGTAAGTTGTACACTGCCAAAAATGTCCATATAAATTTATAAGAGCAGCAGTAATTATTGATGTACAGTATTAATTCCATGAACCAGTAGCTATCTTGCCAGCACTGCTGCTAGGCCAGCCAGAGAGAGGTGTGTTCCTTTCCTCCGACTAGTGGGGTCCTGAACCTGCCAGCCATCCTCCTTCTAGTAGGGAGGAAGCAGCCTGCAGTGGACCCAACCTAAAGAGAGGGAGAGCTGACAGATGGGGAATAACGAGCTCTAAAACTCTTGTTTAAGAAGCCCTGACCCAATTCCACTTTTGAGATTCCCAGTTGTTTGAACATACATGTCCCCTACCTCTTCCTCTGATTTGCCTAAGCCACTTTGAGTTGGTTTTTTTTCCTGTCACTTATGAACAGAAGGATTCCAAATACAGAACTTACTCTGACATCTCACTACCTCAAGTCAAGAACCATGGCTCTAAGTTATTGTCCATTTCTAAAATTCACCTGTTACCAATTTGTTAAGTGCTTTTTCTTTTTTTCTTTTTTTAAAAAATTTATTTATTTTATTTAGTTATTTTTGGCTGCGTTGGGTCTTTGTTGCTGTGTGCGGGCTTTCCTAGTTGTGGTGAGCAGGGGCTACTCTTCATTGTGGTGCGTGGGCTTCTCATTGCAGTGGCTTCTCTTGTTACGGAGTATGGGCTCTAGGCATCCAGGCTTCAGTAGTTGTGGTGCATGGGCTCAGTAGTTGTGGCTCGCGGGCTCTAGAGCGCAGGCTCAGTAGTTGTGGTGCACGGGCTTAGTTGCTCCGCGGCATGTGGGATCTTCTCGGACCAGGGATTGAACCCGTGTCCCCTGCAATGGCAGGCGGATTCTTAACCACTGTGCCACCGGGGAAGCCCCTAAGTGCTTCTTCTTAATTAAAAAAAAATTGAAGTATAGTTGATTTACAGTGTGGTGTTACTTTCAGGTGTACCATACAGTGATTCGGTTATATATATATAGGTATGTAGGTATACATATATTCTTTTCCAGATTCTTTTTTTTTTCCTTGTCTGCGTTGGTCTTAGCTGTGGCTTGCGGGTTTTCTCTCTCTAGTTCTGGCACGCGGGCTCCAGGGCGAGTGGGCTCTATAATTGTGGTGCAGGGGCTCCAGAGAGCGTGGGCTCTGTAGTTTGCTGCACGTGGGCTCTCTAGTTGAGGCACATGAGCTCAGTAGCTGTGTCACGCGGGCTTAGTTGCCCTGCAGCATATGGGATCTTATTTCCCTGACCAGGGCTCAAACCCAAGTCCCCTTCATTGGAAGGTGGATACTTAACTACTGGACCACCAGGGAAGTCCCCCCAGATTCTTTTTCTTTATAGTTTATTTAAAAATATTGAGTATAAGGAATTCCCTGGTGGTCCAGTGGTTAGGACTTGGCACTTTCACAGCCATGGCCTGGGTTCAATCCCTGGTCAGGGATCTCCGGCAAGCTGTGTGGCGCAGCCAAAAAATAAAATTAAAAATTCTAGGACTTCCCTGGCAATCCAGTGGTTAACACTCCTCCCTTCCAGGGCTTCCCTGCTGGCGCAGTGGTTGAGAATCCACCTGCCAATGCAGGGGACATGGGTTCGATCCCTGGTGCAGGAAGATGCCACATACTGCGGAGCAACTAAGCCCGTGAGCCACAACTACTGAGCCTGCACGCCGCAACTACTGAAGCCCATGCACCTAGAGCTCATGCTCTGCAACAGGAGAAGCCACCACAATGAGAAGCCCGCGCACTGCAATGAAGAATAGCCCCCCCTCACTGCAACTAGAGAAAGCTCATGCGCAACAACGAAGACCCAATGCAGCCAAAACAATAAATAAATTAAAAAAAAAAAAAACTCCTCCCTTCCACTGCAGGGGGTGTGGGTTCCATCCCTCGTTGGGAAACTAAGATCCCACATGGTGTGCGGTATGGCCAAAAACAAAAAAATCTAGGACTTCCCTGGTGGTGCAGTGGTTAAGAATCTGCCTGCCCATGCAGGAGACACAGGTCCCAGCCCTGGTCTGGGAAGATCCCACATGCCATGGAGCAGCTAAGCCCGTGTGCCATAACTACTGAGCCCACACGCCTCAACTACTGAAGCCCACACGCCTAGAGCCCGTGCTCTGCAACAAGAGAAGCCACCGCAATGAGAAGCCCACGCACCGCAGTTAAGAGTAGCCCCTGCTCGCCACAACTAGAGACAGCCCACGCAGCAAGGAAGACCCAATGCAGCCGAAAATAAATAAATGAATAAATAAATAAATAAAAATTTAAAAAAAAACATAATATTGAGTATAGTTCCCTGTGCTATACAGTAGGTTAAGTGCTTTTTAAATTTTTTAATTTTTGGCTTTGCCGTGCAGCTTGCGGGATCCTAGTTCACGTGATCAGGGATGGAACCCCTGACCTCAGCAGTGAAAGTGCAAAGTCCTAACCACTGGACTGCCAAGGAATTCCCAGATTTGTTTTTTGTTTTTTTTTTTTTTTTGCAATACGTGGGCCTTTCACTGTTGTGGCCTCTCCCGTCGCGGAGCACAGGCTGCAGACGCGCAGGCTTAGCAGCCATGGCTCACGGACCTAGCCGCTCCGCAGCATGTGGGATCTTCTCGGACCGGGGCATGAACCCGTGTCCCCTGCTTCGGCATGCGGACTCTCAACCACTGCCCCACCAGGAAAGCCCCGAGATTTGTATTTTTTTCTTTTTTCTTTTTTTTTTTTTTGGACACACTGCATAGCATGCAGCATGTGGGATCTTAGTTCCCCAACCGGGAATCAAACCCAGGCCCCCTGCAGTGGAAGCGTAGTGTCTTAACCACTGGACTGCCAGGGAAGTCCTGAGTGCTTTTTTTTTTAAGAAAAAAGAATTACTGATGGCCAGGCATTGACATCTATGTATAAGAATTAAAACATTCAGTATTGTGATTGACTTCCAGTATCCATGAAGGAAAATCTAATAAAAGTGTAGACCTATAGTTTCTTAACTACTTGGTTCAGTCAGTGTCCTCGTAGGAAGCAGATGACATACTCAACAAACGGTTAACTGAAGAGGTAATTATTTATAGAATTATGGGCAGGGTTAAGGAAACCCACAGAGGAGGGAGGAACTCCCAGGGGCAGCTCTTAGGCTGAGTGGGTCATGGAAGGGAGCAGGGTTACCAGAACCAGACAAATGCTGTAGCTATGAAGAGAGGCCATAATGACCTTAGGTAGAGGAACCGTGGCAGCCCAGTTCGGGCAGGGGTTGGGGGTGACCAGAGATGAAACAACTGGACTACTTTCTCTTCCTATAGTCCCATCTTTTGATGGTGCCTTCTATTGCCCAAAGCTATCTGGAAAACTGAGGGCAAGAGAGCTGGGTGATGCAAGCCCAAGTCAGCCTCCCAGGGCACAGAGGAAGGCAAAGACTGGGAATTGATCTAGGGTTGTATTGTCCAATACAACCACCACTAGGCTCATGTGGTTATTTGAGTCCAAATTGAGATGTATTGTAAATGTAAAATACATGCTGGATTTCAAACACTTGGTATTAAAAAAGAATGTAATGTTTATATTGATTACATGTCGAAATTAATTTTTATGTACTGGGTTAAATAAACTATATTATTACAATTAAATTCATCTGTTAGGACTCTGCGCTGTCACTGCCAAGGGCCTGGGTTCAATCCCAGGTTGGGGAAATAAAATCCCACAAGCCAAG